TGTGAAGCCATCTGGTCATGGGCTTTTGTTTGTAGAGAGTATTTATTACTACTTCAATTTCTTTCTTTTTTCTGACAATATTTTCTCTTTTGTAATTACAGTTGACATACAATATTGCATTAGTTTCAGATGTACAACCCTGTGTAATTAGATATTATGTAACTTACTAAGTGATAACCCAAATAAATCCCATACACATCTGACACTGCATATATTTATTAGGATTTTGACTATATTGCTTATGCTCTATTTTACATTTCCATGACTATTCTGTGTCTACCAATTTATACTTCTTAATCCCTTCAACTTTTATACTCATCCCTTCAAGCCCCCTCCCACCTGACATATTTCTCTTCTTCTTAAAGAAACTCTAACATTTCAGGTAATACTGATTTGGTGGTAATGCACTCTTTTATCTTGTTCTTGTCTAGGAAGCTCTTTATACCTCCTTTGGTTCTAAAGGATAGCTTAGTTGTGTAGAGTACTCTTTGTTGTCAGTCTTTGTTTTTCATTACTTTGAATATTTTGTATCAATCCCTTCTGGTCTGTAAACTTTCTGTTGAGAAATCAGCTCAAAATCTTATGTGAGCTCTCCTGCATATAAATAACTGCTTTTGTACTTCTACCTTTATGACTGTCTCTGTCTTTCAACTTTGGGATTTTAATTATGATGTGTTTGCGGTGCGCCTCTTTGGATTCATCCTGTTTGGAACTTTCTGCATTCCTGGACTTACATGTTTGTCTCTTTCCTTCATCACGTTAGGGAAGATTTCTGTCATTTTTTCACACAAGCTTTCAATTTATTGCTCTCTCTTTTCTCCTCAGGCACCCACATCATGTAAATGTTTGTGTGCTTGATATTTTCTGAGATGTTCCTTATACTATGCTCATTTTTCAAAATTCTTTTTTTTGTGCTGTTCTGATTGGGTGTTTTCTTCTTTCTTCTTTTCAAAATCTCTGATTTGATCTTCTGTTTAATCTTCTCTACTCTTCATTCCTTATAATGTATTCTTCATTTTAGTTAGTATATTCTCTATTCTAACTGGTTATTTTTTATGTTTTGTAGTTCTATTTTTATGTTCCTACTCTTTGAGGAAGTTGCCACTAAGTTTGTACTCTGTTTTCCTAAGTTTCCTGAGCATCCATATAGACATTGTTTTGAACTTTGCATCTGGTAAATTATTAGTCCCCATTTTGTTTAGTACATTTTCTGGAATTTTTTCAATTTTTTATTGGTACATGCTTCTTCGTCTCCTCATTATGGCATCTCTGTCTTTGTTTCATATATTATGTAGAGCTGCTATATCTCCCAGGCTTGATAAAATGGCCTTATGTTGTAGGTATCCTTTGAGGTCCAGTGACACAGCCTCTACATTTACCTGGGTTGGGCACTCCAGGTGCACCCTCCTGTGTGAGACGTGTACACCCTCCTATTGAAGTTGATATTTGATTGCTGATGTCATGCTAATTGAAGATATTTACCCCCAAGGCTGATTGACTACAAGGACTGGTTACTACCACCATTAAGGATTAGCTGTGCAGGGGCCCACTCATGAAGCAGGAATTACTTCAGTAGGGCTCTGGTGTCTGCTGAGGCCACCCCTTCAGTGTCTCACTTGTGGAGATGGTTTGGCAATGCTTCATTGTGGCCTGAAGCTCTCCACCAGGTGCACTGGCTCTGGGTCCTCCTAGGAGATGCAGGCCAAGGTCATCACTGCCTGTGTTCTGGCTGGAGCCACCTGGCATGAGCTACAAAGGACTATGTAGATGGCTGGAACTGATGCTGGGCTTGGAGGTGGCCAGAGTGGCCAAGCTGTGAACCAAGACCAGCTGCTGCTAGTGCCCAGCATGGGGCCACTTAACAAGTTATATAAAACACACCAAGGACAGATGCTGCTCATCTGAGAAATTTTAGGATAGTCAGAAGCATGAATCAGGACAGGCTGTTAGTATGGAAAAGCCATTGAAAAGGGCTTGGGATGATTCCTTGGTCTCAAGGAATCACCAGGCCAAGGCTAAGAGTGTTAGTTAGCAAGATTGATGGAGACTCAGATATGGTACCTGCCTGCTGGCTCTGGGGAGAAGGCACAGAAACGGAACAATGGCCTTTGACAGCAATTCTGTCTAGGAGAAAGATGCCCTTCCAGCTCTCACCCTAATGCCAGACACTTCAGTTTCTCCCTGGATGTCCCTGGTGCCTTCTGGCTGCTGCTACCCCCAGTGTTGGAGCTCAGAGAGAGTGAATACAAGTAAGTTTGTGAGTTGGCCCTTTAAGATGAATACCTGGAACTCCAGGAGTGTTCTGTCTCACTCAGCAATAGTCCTCACTACTTTTTGCAGCCAGAGGTTATGGAGACTTGTCTTCCTGGCACTGGCACCCTGGGCTGGGATCCTGGTGCGGCACTAAGTCCACTTGCTCCTCAGGGGAGACTTCTGCAGCTTGAGATATCCCTCCCAAATTTTATTTGCCACATGTGAGTGTGAGAGCAGCCCATTCCTTGTGTCTGCCCCTCTTATTAGTCTTGTTGTGGTTTCTTCTTTATATCCTTAGTTGTAGGTCTCTTCTGTTCAGCTAGATTTCAGATGTTGATGAATGATGGTTGCTCTGTAAATTACTGTCATGTGGCTGTCAGAGAATTAGGTACCACATTTACCTATGCCACAGTCTTGACCAGAAGCCCAACTAATGCTGCTTCAATTTCACTGCTAGTAATGAATCTATGTAAATTTTGTATTGGTTCTTGTTCAGCACTGGAATGTTACATACTTTAACATATTCACCAGTTTCTTCTAGATTGTTGCGTTTCTTAGCATCTAATTGAAATATCTGTTAGTGGGCCTTTGTATTTCTGTGGTGTCAGTTGTAACTGCTCCTCTCCCTTTGAGGATTTTATTTATTTGTTCATTTCCTCTCTTGATGAGTTTGGCTGTATATTTACCACTTTTGTTTCTTTAAAAGAAATATCCCTTAGTTTTATTGTTCTTTCAATAGGTTTTTCCTTTTTTCATTTATTTTTGCTCTGATCATAACTATTTCCTTCCTTCTGTTTACTCGGGGTTTCATCTGTTCTTTTTCTAGTTCCATTAGATGTAAAGGTGGATTTTTTATTTGGGATTTTTCTTGTTTCCTGAGGTCGGCCTGTATGCTATGAACTGCCCTCTTACAACTGCTTTGCTTCATCCCATAAATCTATGGGATGCTTTAAGGTGCTTTGGATTTCTTGTCTGATTTGCTTGTGATCCATTAGTCATTTAGTAGCATGTTGCTTAGTTTTCAGGTGTTCATTCCAGTTTCCTTCCTGTCGTTGATGTCTAGTTTTGTGCCATTGTAATCAGAAGAAATGCTCGATATAATTTCAGCCAAGGGAAATGTTTTGAGGCTTGTTTTGTGGCCTAGTATGTGCTCTATTATAAACAATGTTCTCTGGGCACTTGAAAAAAAATTTGCTGTGTATTTTGTGGATGAAATGTTCCATAAACATTTTATGTCAATCTGACCTAATGGGACATTTAAAGCCATTCTTTGTTTATTAATTTTCTAACTGGATGATCTACCAATTGATGTAATTTGGTATAAATATCCTACTATTATAGTATTACTTTGGATATCTCACTTGATGCTCATTAATGATTCCTTTATATATTCAGATATTCCTATGTTGGTTGTATAGATATTTACAAAGGCTACATTCTCTACTTCAATTGACCACTTTATAATTACGTGACGTCCTTTGCCTTTATTTTAAAATTTTTTTTCAAAATCTACTTAGTCTGTTATAAGCAATGCTACCTCAGCTCTGTTTTTATTTGTGTTTGCATGGAATATCTTTTTCCATCTCTCCTTTTTCTGGCTATGTGTCTGAATTTGCAGGGTCTCTTGTAAGCAGCATATTGATGAAGCAAGTTTTTTTTAACCCATTCAGTTGCACTAGGTCTTTTAAAAAAAATTATCCTCACCCAAGGACACTTTTTTATTGCTTTTAGAGAGACAAGAAGGGAGAGAAAGAGGTAGATAGAGAAAGAGAAACATCAATGTGAGAGAGAAACATTAGCCAGTTGCCTCCTCATATGTTCCTCAACTGAGAATCGATCTTGCAACCTGGGTATGTGCCAACACTGGGAACCAAACCTACAAACTTTTGGTCTATGGGACAGTGCTCCAATCAACTGAGGCACACCACCCAGTGTACACTATGCCTTTTTATTGGACTATAAGATACATTTAAATTTAAAGTAATCATTTATAGCTATGTACCCATTGCCATTCTGTTAATCATTTTTGTTGTTATAGTAATCCTCTGCTCTTTTCTTCTTAATCTCTCCTTTGTGGTTTCATGCTTGTCTGTATTGCTTTGCATATATTCCTTTCTTTGTTCTTTGTATCCTTTTTTTAGGGTTTTTTTTTGTAGTCATCACAAAGTTTATGTATACCCTTCTATATCTAGAGCAGTCCATTTTAAGCTAGTATGCATTTAAGTTCAAATATATTCTGTAAGAATTATTGTTTACTTTCTCTTCCACATTTTCTTTTTGACATCATCTTTTTCTTATTTCTGAGTTGTGCATCCTCTAACTAATTATTGTATGTTTAGTTGGGTTATATACATTTATTCTTTTGACCTTCATACTAGCTTTTTAATTATCAGGTTTGCCATATTGATTAAATATACCTGTGATTATTTTCTTTTCTTGTATTTCCATATTTCTGGTTATGCCCTTTCCTTTTCTACTTATGAAAGAGCCTTTAAGTAGAAATGACAGACTAACACACACAAGGTCATTGTTAGCACTTATAATCATAGAACAAATATTAAATCCACTTGTTTATAAACAAGATCATCTACATTAGGTTTTCCAACTTTTCTGTGAGTGCTCTGATATTTATATGAGGATGCTATACTTACTTTGAGGTGTAGGAGTTATATTTTAACTTCCAAATTGATAAGGAAGTTAAAATATAAACAGCTCCTTAGATAAACATGACCAATGACAAAAGGAATCAGAAGTTTGAAAGCTAGCATGTGTTCCAGCAGGATGCCTATGAAATGGATTTCAGTTCTTCTACTGCTACAGCTGAGTTGTCAGTTCAGCCCTGGGAGTTGTGGAAAGGTGCTGGTGTGGCCCACTGAATACAGCCATTGGATCAATATGAAGACCATCCTGGATGAACTTGTCCAGAGAGGTCATGAAGTGACTGTTCTGACACATGCAGCTTCAATTCTTGTTGATCCCAATAAACCATCTGCTATTAAATTTGAGATTTATCCTACATCTTTTAAAAAAGATGATTTTCAGAAACTTTTCATGAAGCTGATCCCTAAATGGACATATATGCCTAAAGATACATTTTGGACTTATTTTTCACTAATTGAAGAAATACTTTTGGAATACACTGATTTTATTCTAAAGCTCTGTAAAAGTGCAGTTTTGAACAAGGAACTTATGAGAAAACTACAGCAAGAAAAGTTTGATGTCATTCTTGCAGATGCTGTGGGACCCTGTGGTGAACTGCTGGCTGAGCTACTTAACATACCTCTTGTGTACAGTCTCCGCTTCTTTCCTGGCTTTATAGTTGAAAAGCAGAGTGGAAGACTTCCAATCCCTCCATCCTACGTACCTATTATCTTGTCAGAATTAAGTGATCAAATGACATTCATCAAGAGGGTAAAAAATATGTTGTATGTGCTTTATTTTGACTTCTGGTTTCAAATGTTTCATGAGGACTGGGATCAATTTTATAGCGAAGTACTAGGTAAGTTATTGTTTCATTTGGTAGTATGAAATTCTAACTTTCTTAGTGCCTTGGAAGGTGAATTTGCCTAAATATTAAGTGTCATATAAGTGAAATGATGAAATAAAATTATAAATTGATCTCTCATTGTCACAAATATTATGGAAATTCTTAAATTATGAGATCAGTGAAAAATTGTCTCCTCTTACATACTTTAGTTTTGATTTACAACTGAACTATTTTGCCATATTACCTGAAGGATTCTTTCATAATATAGTGACTCTATCTCAGGCAGAAGAACATATAATTTGGGGTTTCTAATGATTTCCCATCCCTTCACTAAGAACTTAGAATTCATCCAATTAAACATCTTAAAAAATGTTGAAAAATGGACATGTAAGTCAGTAAACTATTGGGATGGGAGAAATGTTTATTCACTATTAAAATAAAATAAAAGACATTTTTCTTTTTCACCAATAACTTTATCTTTTCTCTCTTTTTAATTTCTGTTCAAGTACCATTTACAAGTACTGTTTACACTTTCAAACATGACTCTTCCCAACACCAGCCATCCTCACCTTCCACCCTCAATCCTACCACCCTTTGGTTTTCTCCATGTATCCTTTATACAGTTTTTTTGATGAAATTTCCCCTTCCTCTTCCCCCCCACCCTGTTATCTCCTCAAACCTCTTTCTGGTTACTATCATTTTGTTCTTTATTGCAATGTGTCTGGTTGTATATTGCTTGCTTGGTTTTTTGCTGCTTAGGCTCCACTTACAGATGATATCATACAGTATCTGTATTTCTCCATCTGGCTTATTTCACTTAGCATAATACTCTCCAGTACCATCCTTGCTATCACAAAGGGTAGGAGCTCCTTTCTATCTGCTATGTAGTATTCCATTGTGTAAATGTTCAACAGGTTTTTGAACCACTCATTTATTGACTGGCACCTAGGCTGCTTCTAGCACTTGGCTGTTATAAATTGTGCTGCTATGAACATTGGGGTGCATAAGTTCTTTTGAATTGGTGTTTCAGGTTTCAAAACCCTAGGGTATAATCCCAGCAGTGGAACTGCAGGGTCAAAAGGCAGTTCCATTTTTAGTTGTCTGAGGAAATTCCATACTATTTTCCATAGTGGCTGCACCAGTCTGCATTCCCACCAACAGTGTACTAGGGTTCCCTTTTCTCCACAGCCTAGCCAGCACTTGTTTTTTGATTTGGATATGATGGTCACTCTGACCAGTGTGAAGTGGTATCTCATTGTGGCTTTAATTTACACCTCTCTGATGGCTAGTGATGCTTAGCATCTTTTCATGTGTCTCTGGGCCCTCCGTATGCCCTTCTCAGAGAAGTGTCTGTTCAAGTCCTTTGCCCATTTTTAATTAGATTGTTGGTCTTCCTGGAGTGGAGTGTGTGAGTTCTTTATATATTTTTGGAGATCAAACCCTTGTCCAAGGTATCATTTACAAATATATTTTCCCATATGGTTGGCTCCCTTTTCATTTTGCTGGTGTTTTCTGTAGCCGTGCAGAAACTTTTTATTTTGATGAAGTACCATTTGTTAACTTTTTCATTTATGTCCTATGTTCTAAGGGACATATCAGTGAAAATATTACTGCATGGAATGTCAGATTTTCCTGCCTACATTCTCCTCTAGGCTCTTATGGTATCACGACTTGTTTTTAAGTCTTCTCTGCATCTTCTTGAGGTTGTTGGTTTTGTTTTGTTTTGTTTTGTTTTGTATGTGGGTTAACTTGGTGATCAAGTTTGTTTGTTTGTTTCTTTCTTTCTTTCTTTCTTTCTTTTTTTGCTTGTAGCTATCCAGATCTCCCAACATCATTTGCTGAAGAGGTTATTTTTTAGTCCATTTTATATTTCTGACCCTTTTCTTGATTATTAATTGACCATAGAGATTTCACTTTATTTCTGGGATCTCTATTCTGTTCCATTGATCTGTGTGTCTGTCCTTATGCCATTACCAGACTGTTTTGATTTCTGAGGTCATGTTATATAGTTTGATGTCAAGTATTCTGATCCCTCCCCCTTTGTTTTTCTTTCTCAAAATTGTTGCAGCTATTTGGGGTCATTTATGGTTCCATATAAATTTCTGAAATGTTTGTTCTGTATGTGTGAATACGTCATTGGTATTCTAATAGGGATTGCATTGAATCTATAAATTCTTTTGGGTAATATGGACGATTTGCTGATATTGATTATTCCAATCCATGAACATGGTATGTGCTTCCGTTTAATTGTGTCTTCCTTAATAGCTTTCTTCAGTGCTGTGTAGTTTTCTGAGTACAGATCTTTCACCTCCTTGGTAATGATTATTCCTAGATGTTTTATTTTTTTTTCTCAATGCTATAGGAAATGTTTTTTTTCCCTGATTTCTAATTCTGATCTTTCATTGTTGGTGTAGAAAAATGCCTTTGATTTCTGAATATTGACTTGGAACCCTGCTGTTTTGCCAAATTTGTTTATTAGCTTGAGTGAGTTTTTTTTGTGGAGTCTAAAGGGTTTTCTATGTATACAATCATATCATCTGCAAACAGTGACAGTTTTACTTCTTCTTTTCCAATTTGGATTCCTTTTCCTTCTTTTTCATATCTGATCAGTGTGACTAAAACTTCCAATACCTTGTTGAGTAGAAATGGTGAAAGCAGACATCCATGTCTTGTTCCTGATCTTAGTGGGAAGCTTTCAGTTTTTGCCCATGGTGTATGGTGGATGTTGGCTGTAGGTCTTTGGTACGGCCTTAATTATATTAAGGAATGCTCCCTCTCCTCTCACTTTGCTGATTTTTTTTATCATAAATGGGTGCTGTACAAGGACTTCCAGCAAGATGGAGGCATAGGTGGATGCACTGTACCTCCACACACAACCAAGATTAGAACAACAACAATTTAGAGGCAGAATAACACCCAGAACTGATAGACAAATTTATCTGAATGGAAGTCGGACAGCCATGAAGTTGAAGTAGACCCGTTCATTCAGACCGGTAGGCGGGGCAGATAGGAGCAGCTGGGTGCAGGTCGCGGCTCGGAGAACAGGGAGAGCTGGGTGCATAAGGCAACCAGGAACGTAGGGCATCTGGGGCGCACAAGCTCGCAGTGGGTGGACCCTGAGTGCACAAGCGGCAGCTGGCGGACCCAGAGAGGCAGCGATTGAGGACCAGGACAGAGCATGCAGCCCAGGATCCCAGGGAAGGGACTGAGGTCCCAGGACAGTGAAGCTGCCGGCATTGTTTTGTCCCACCCATGCCCCTGCCCTCACCCCCACGTGCAACGTCACAATCTAGCAACTGGGGTGCCCAGCCCGGGTGAACACCTAAGGCTCTGACCCTCACCATAACAGGAACAACCAGACCAAAAAAAAAAAAGAGAGAGAGAGAGAGAGACATGTCTCAAACATTAAAACAGATCAATGCCCCAGGGCTCATCCTCTTGAGCAACCAAGAGATAGCCAATCTATCAGATGCACAGTTCAAAACACTGGTGATCAGGATGCTCACACAATTGGTTGATTTTGGGAGTAAATTAGATGAAAAAATGCAGGTTACCATAAAAGAGATGAAGGAAGATGCACGGAAAACCAATAGTGATGGGAAGGAAACTGGGACTCAAAACAATAGAGTGGACCAGAAAGAAGAAAAAAAACAACCAAACAGGAAAGAATGAAGAAATAAGAATTAAAAAAAAAAAAAACGAAAAACAAGGAAAAGCTTAGGAACCTCCAGGACATCTTTAAATGTTCCAACATCCAAATTATAGGGGTACCAGAAGGGGAAGAGGAAAAGCAACAGATTGAGCACGTATTTGAACAAATAATAAAGGAGACCTTCCTCATCCTGGCAAAGGAAATAAACTCCCAGGAAATCCAGGAAGCTCAGAGAGCCCCAGAGAAGTTGGACCCAAGAAGAAACACACCAAGGCACTTCATAATTACATTAGCCAAGGTAAAAATGAAAGAGAGAATCCTAGAAGCAGCAAGAGATAAGGGGACAGTCACCTACAAAGGAGTTCCCATCAGACTGTCAGCTGATTTCTCAAAAGAGACCTTACAGGCAAGACGGGGCTGGAAAGAAATATTCCAAGTCATGAAAGACAAGGACCTATATCCCAGATTACTCTATCCAGCAAAGCTTTCATTTAGAATGGAAGGGCAGATAAAGTGCTTCTCACATAAGGTCAAATTAAAGGAGTTCATCATCACCAAGCCCTTATTTTATGAAATGTTAAAGAACTTATCTAAGAAAAGAAGATAAAGAAAAAACATGTATAGTAAAGAACAGCAAACTCACAATTATTAACAACCACACCTAAAGCAAAACCAAAAGAAACTAAGCCAACAAGTAGAACAGGAACCGAACCACAGAAATGGAGAACATGTGAAGGGTTAGCAACACAGGAGTGGGAGGAGGAGAGAGCAGGAAAAGGTACAGAGAATAAGTAGCATACATTGTAGGTTGAAAATAGATAGGGGGAGGATAAGAATAGTATGGGAAATGTAGAAGCTAAAGAACTTGTAAGTATGACACATGGACATGACTAAAGGGGGGGATATGGGTGGGAGAGGGTGTACAGGGTAGAGGGGAGTAAGGGGGGAAAATGGGACAACTGTAATAGCATAATCAATAAAATATATTTTAAAATGGGTGCTGTACATTATCAAACACTTTTTCTGCATCTTTTGATATGATCGTGTGATTTTTGTCTATCCTTTTGGTTCATGTGATGTATTAAGATTATTGATTTGTGAATATTGTACAATCCTCACATCCTTGGAGTGACTCCCACCTGGATGTATTGCTGGATGTGGTTTGCCAATATTTGGTTGAGGATTTTAGTATCTATGTTCATCAGCAATATTTTCCTGTAGATTTCTTTCTTCATTTTGGCTCTATCAGGTTTTTGATTAGGATGATGCTGGATTTGTAAAAAGACTTTGGGAGCCTTCGCTCTTCTTGGATTTTTTGGAATAGTCTGTGAAGGATAGAGGTAAGTAAGCTCTTCCTTAA